ACCAGAGGAGTCTGTCGTTCTCTGATTTTGGCACACTGCTTAGGTGAGATGTCGATCAGAGGCTGCACGTTGTTTAACACAGTCCTCCTGCTCAGAGAGAATAAGGCACCTGAGCCTCCGGGAAGTGGCGTATTTCAGGTTCAGAGGACTGGTCTGGAGGCTGAAGTTGGAAGCTTTTCATTTGCAATCATTCCCACAGACCATCAATGTCTCTGCGCCTGCTCTAGAAGATCACGCCGTCTTGTTTTGGCACACAACGATGAGATGGTTGGGAGAAAATGAAATCGACGTGAGGCTGATGGGCACATATGAAAAGAAAATGTATCTAAAAACAACCTGGGTCTTGACGAAAAAGAAAAACCAAAACCTAAAACCTCTCCGATCAAACTGCTGTGAACTCAAAGACATAGGGATGAGTAGGAACCATTGGATCTGCTTCTTATGGAACTGACTGCTGCTGCGTGTGTGTGTGTGTGTGTGTGTGTGTGTGTGTGTGTGTTTGTCAACGGCCCAGCACGTTTCCTCACAGGTTCACCTCTGTTAGGTTCGACCGTCACCTAACACAGACTCTACGACAGGTTCTGGCTGGCGAAGAACGCCTTGGTCCTTCCACAGGTGGGATTGGTGCAGAGCGGACAGCGCAGGGTCAGCTGACGGGAGCAGGGCTCGTTGGACTTTAGGTGGGTCTGGACCAGGTCTGCCAGAGCCTGGACACAAGAGAACAGAAGGGTCTGCCAGAGCCTGGACACAAGAGAACGGAAGGAGCACACAGTTGGTCAACTGAGAGGACTAGGTCTTTGCCGTCTGGACTGTGGACACCAACGGAGAGCGGGTTTCTCTCAGTTCCTGTCCAGCAAGTACAGGTTTCATTTCAAAATACTGAGGCCCCAACACTTCAGCCCGACTCTGCAGACTCATGATGAAGATTTTTTTTTTTTTTTAATCATTTTATTTTCCACAGGCTGGTGTTTGCAGACGGCAGCAGACTGATGCAGCTCAGCCAGAAAGTAAAACCACAGCGAGGAAACCATCCTTCAGTAACTACCAACTAATCATCCTCTGGATATTGATTTATACACTCACTCACTCTCTCCCACACTCACACACACACACACACACACTTGGTGAGAGGCCTCTGAGCACGGCAGGTTTGACCAGAGAGCCAGCCGGGCGCTTCAGTTCTACTGTAGTCAGCTCTAAAGGTTCTCATTGATTCCCACCCCCTCCACCCCTCCATCCCTCTGCCCACCCTTTAATAAACCCAACACACACACATACATAGATACAGAGAAGCAGGAGGTGAGACAGGAGGAGTGGGGTTCTGTGGAGTTAGTGAACTCCGGGAGTAGATGAACCCAATGATGGTTTCCTCACCTGCTCCGACACATTTCCTGTTCCTTCCCCCCCTTTGACCACATGCCTCCTTCACACTTTCCCTCTCTTCATTTCACCTATTTCTACTTTAATTGTCTTCCTTCTTCCACTGAGCCATATTTTACCTTTCATTTTCTTTTATTTAAACCCTAACGTTCCCTCCTCCTGTCTCGGTTTCCATTCTTCTGTCTCGTCTCTCTTCCTTTGCTGCCCTTCAAACTCCTGATTCGAACCGATCTAACGCGTTTAGTGAAAGAAAACCAACCTTCATGAACAGAGGATTCCCGTTCAGTGACTCGGCTCTCCTGATGTTCTCCACTCCACACTGACAACAGAGAAAGCATTTTAAACATGTCAGATGGCATATACATATATACACATATACATATATACATATACACATATATACACATATATATACATATATATATACACATATATATATACACATATATATACACATATATATATATATATATAGTAATACCTTGAGGTACGAGTGTCTCAACATACGAGTATTTCGAGATACGAGCAAGCCATTTTTGCTTGAGATATGAGTAAGGATTTGAGATACAAGCACGCAGACACCGACGCTAGCTGACTCTCTAACTCGTTCACTTCGCGCGTTAGTCGACTTCTGTACGCATCTCCCGCAAGTCTACAGTATTGTGTTTGCGTTATCTACGTGATTTTCTCTCTCTTTTGTGCATTATTTTTCATAATAGTGATGAGTCCTCAGAGAGTAAGTGGTAAGGATGGTAGAAGAGAAGAAGAAACGCATGATGACCATGGAAATAAAGCAGGAAATTGTTGATAAATATGAGCGTGCTGCTGGCTAAAGACAGAATACAAATCGAAAAAAGAAAAAAAAAAAGAAAATAGAGAAGGAAATATAAGCTAAGTCAAGTTAATTCTAAGTTTATGTAAGTTACGTGTAAGGTAAGGTACGACACAGAATCAGGTGTCTTCGTGTGGGCCAACTCTCTTTCCTGCCTCCGTCAGTGAACTTTCTGTCTGTCTCTCTCACCTCCTCCCCCAGCACCTGACTGTACTCGATGTCCAACTCGTGTAACGTCTCGATGTGGTCGGAGGTGAAGGCGATGGGCACCAGCAGGATGTTTTTCTTCCCTCTTTCACACAGACCTTTGATCACCTCGTCCGTCTGAGGGCCAAGCCACGGCATGGGACCAACCTGAAAGGGAGGGGGGGCACGGAACAAGGTCATTTTCCTTTCCTTTTCTTTGGTTCAGTTCAGTTTTTAGTTTGTCTGGGAACTTTTTCTTGACAGTTTCGAGTAACAAGTGTTGAGTGCCGTCGTTCTGCATCTGTCAGTCTGATGAGCTCATTCAGGACTAATTACGATCCTACAGCCTCTGCCGTGACACGTGCTAATGGACTGAAGTCCCTGAATTGGTTATTTGTGGCTGACAGATGGAAAAGTCCAATCAGCGTTTAAACAACTGTGAACATCTGGATTTAAATTTTTTTTTTTAAATAAACTACAAGTGGAGCTGTTGATCGCTACAGTCATGATCTCTGATTATTGAGCTTCCTCAGTTATATAATGCTAATTTTACAACAACAACGGAGAGGAAGCGGAGAGGGAGAACATGTTGAAAAATAAAACACGAACAAGAAGGAGATTAAAAACAAACAGGAATAGGCGAAGAGGCAAAACCAGGCAAAATAATGCATGTTTAAAAAAAAAAAACTATTCGTAAACGCTGCTGTGGCTAAACACGTGCCGGTGGCGCCATCTAGTGGTCAAAGTTTTTAAATCAATGGTTATATAGAAAGGAGGTTTAAAACTTTATTACACAATTATTAATAATATTTTAAATCAATGGTTATATAGAAAGGAAAATTTTATTACACAATTAATAATAAAAAAGAATAAAAACTGGATAAAAAATAAACTACCTATAAAATAAAAATGGTCAGGTTAAGTTATGACTGCAACAGAGGTAATGGAAGCTAATGTATTTTAATGAGGTACAACTGTGATAGTCCATAATATTTGGGTGTGTGTGCATGTGTGTGTGAACCCACCCTGGACTGCCACACCAGTCTGTAGGGGTTACAGTGTCCCAGTCGCTCCATGACTCTCTGAACTGTGGCCCCCACTTCCTGAGGATAAGGGTCTCCTCTGTTGACAACCTGCACAGGTATTTTCATACAAACGTGTTTAAATCACCAGAGTAATAGACAGATGCCGTATTCTAAATGAATGATTTTCAGTTTAGACATTAGTCTGGTACATCATAGCACTGCTATGAACTATGTAGCTGACACTCACAGCCAGGGGGAGCGAGTGAGCCGAGAACAGGATGACCACGTCGTCTCTTTTCTCCGCTGGAAACTTTTGCAGCTCGTTACTGACATGTTCTGCAAAACACTATACATACAAACAAATGTCACAAAGCCGTGCTTGTAAATAACTCTGTTTCAACCATAGACAAGAAATTGCTTGTAAATAACTCTGTTTCAACCATCGACAAGAAATAACTCAATCTGTTATCTCTGACCTGTTTTCATTTCGGTTTTAAGCTTATAATTTCCTAGTTCTCGACATAAGGCTTTTATTGTGAAAGGGCTTCACTGCAGTCGTGGAGTATCGAAAAAAAAATCAGAGAGACAACGAAAGGAGTTAAAATAAACGTTTGTGCTATTAGCAACGTTCCGCAGGGGAACGAGGTTAGCTTTTATTGCTACGGTTGCTATGAATGGTTGTTAATTAAGTTAGCATCATCTTGTAAAAGCTATTGTTAAACATGGTTATACAATAAGGAAAAGTAGTCAAACTTAATATCAAGTTTAACAGACCATTATAATTATGGCACAAGTATATCCCACAGATCGAGTGTGTGCGCGTGCGCAATAGAGGGAGCACACAAACGTGTGCAACACCGCCTCACTGGATGGGAGTAACGTCACAGCTGAATACCTGGAGACGTTAGCAACATCGAGGGTGACGTCGTAAAATAATATTCATATTTATTAGTGGTAGTGAAATAAAATTAGTAACATGGTTGTTATTCACTTCATGTGAGAAGTCTCACACCCCGGCTGTCACTACTTAAAGAATAGATGGGGGTGTTGACCTTACTTTATTCCGCAGGCACTTCCCATGTTTTTGGCCTTGTATACTTTTCACTTACCTAAATTAGCCTTTGTTTTTTGTTCTAGTCTGCCCTGTAGTGGCATGAAAAATATGTGGCCCAAGATAAACTTTACTTCCAACCCTTGTCCTAGTATGTGTGTGTGTGTGTGTATGAAACGTTTCTAACCTCCACCAGCAGAGGGTGTGTCGGCCATCTGTCAATGACACTCCAGCGCATTTTGGGCTTCTCTTCTCTATTGCTGTAGTATCGGTAGATGGCGTTAAGGCTGCTGCCTTCAAAATAAAAGCAAAAAAACACAACAAAACAATTCAAAATTCAGTCTGACATTCAGAAGCATGTTCTATTACAGCAGACACATCATTTAGACCATTAAGGCCTATTTTTGTGCAGTATTTTCACCATGAATTGTCAATTTTAGAGGTCAGTCCAGTCACCTGTGGTGGAGCAGCTGTACTGAGGATACTGCGTGAAGGCCACCGCTCTCTCCACACCGTCCTTTTCCATCTCCTCGATGGCGTCCTCTGTCAGGGGGTTGACGTAGCGGAAACCGATGTAGAACTTGTGAGGAGCTGAAGGCGGCGCCACAGAGAGATGACAAAAACAAAAATAGAACATTACAGTAGGAGTTGATGACAACAAGCACGGTCAGACACAGAGATGTCTTTACAGTGGACCCTCGAGATACGAGCATCTCTACGTATATACAGTAATACTTTGAGATACGAGTGTCCCGAGATACGAGCATGCCTTCGAGACACGAGTACAGAGAATTCCGTGTTGTGTTTGCGTTATCCACGTGATTTTTCTCTCTGTCGATAAATATAATACGTGGTGTCTGCTAAAGAAAGTGTGTCTGTCTCTATAACAATTAAAAACATGTTTTTTCCATTGTTATTAGCACTAATAAGAGAGTTTTTTTTAGAGGGCGAGAACAGATTAATTTGTTTTCTGTTATTTCTTACGGGGAAAAAAATGATTCAAGATACGAGCACTTTAAGAGCTCGGTCCTGGATCGGATTATGTTGAGGTTCCACTGTATTTTGTAATAATGTTTTTTTCTAACATATACACAGGAGATTTTAAGATGTGGTCGCCCTTCAAACCGATGCTCTTATCTCTGAGGTGTGTCCAGGGTGTTTGACAGTCACTCCTTCACACAGTCACTATCTTTACTTCACACACACACACACACACAACAGGGCAGTGTCGCAAGGACACTATGAAACCGAGGTTTAAAACATGAATGGCTTTTAGACCTTTTCATGGTCAAAAATATCACTACAGCAACCTGGAATGTTTGCAGCTACCACTTCAAATAAAGTACAGATCTGGACTTTGTACGGATGTACTTTTCCTAAGAATCTGATGCTCAGAGTTGTGACGGGTCAGTACAGGTCAGCCCACCTGTGTCTGGGCTCATCTCGTCCAGCAGCTTCACCATGCCCTCCCCTTGCATGGACGTCCAGCGTTTGATAGGGGAGCCTCCCCCGATCTTACTGTACTGCTCCTGGATTTTTGGCGTTCGCCGTTTGGCAATGAACGGCCCAAGTTTACTGTGGAGACACACAAAGAAAACTGTGAGGTTAAAACTCGTCATGTCATGACGGTCTATTTTTAATGCGGGTCCATTAGATCAAAATTTAAGTCCAAAAGAATCCCCCAAACACAAGTTAAATGCTCCACCTTGTTGTTAGACATTCCTCTTCAACTGAAACCATGACATTTTAATAACATTTTCACTGAACCAATGTCCATAAAACAGATTTGTTGCTCACTGATCGGCCAAAGAATCTGCTTCACGTCTAGCTTTTTTCAGTAATTTTAAGACACTAAACTTTAGTAAAACTAATATCTAATAATCTATATACTGAAACCATGACATTTTAATAACATTTTCACTGAACCAATGTCCATAAAACAGATTTGTTGCTCACTGATCGGCCAAAGAATCTGCTTCACGTCTAGCTTTTTTCAGTAATTTTAAGACACTAAACTTTAGTAAAACTAATATCTAATAATCTATATACTAAGTAGAAAAATAACATTTAATGTCACTGGTGGAGGCTGTGGTGAACAGACAGCTTTATGTCTAAACTTAAAAAGAAGGGCTCACCAACTAAATTTGTCAGAGGACCAGTTTTTCTGGACAGACACCTTTAAAATTAAATAAAAAAAACATATTTTTGTCTAACATTATTATTTGCCGTTCATATTGTAATCTAGTCGCAGGCCATATTGGATGGTTCAGTGGGCCAGATTCAGCATGTGAGCCGCCACTTGGTAAACACGCCAAAAACGCTTTAAATTGTCAATATGGACTTTGGTAAAGAAGAAAAGCTGGTTCTCTAAACAAAGCCATTTCTTGTTACACCTGTTGTCTTTGTTCCCCTTATGTTATTGTACAATACATGTGACCACATGTCACATGTCGTGTGTGTAGGGGGAGAAGGAAGTGCACGTACTTTTGCACTGGGAGTTTCATCAGGTCAGTGTCCAAGAAAAGCCGCAGCAGGAAGTCGTGGACGTCTTCCAGCTTTTCCGGTCCTCCCATGTTCAACATGAGGATTCCAGTCTTGGGTTTCCTACGGACACCGCAGAGTTTCAACAATTTACACCAAACTACCACAACAGAAGCTCAACTCATCGCACAGGTGTCGTGCTGATTCGAGAACTGGATAATGCCTCTGTGCCTGCACATGATGCTACTACACTTCTGCAGTAGGTTTTAAGTATAATGTCGCTCCTGTGCGGAACCAAAACAACACTTGATCATCTGCAAAAGGTGAATTCTACATCAAAGAATTTAAATTAACCAGAAATACTTCAAGCTTGTTTTAATGTCCTTGTGGCTGCACAGGTAAACAGCAGATGTGCAAGCATCGCAATGGTGACGTGACACATTCGTTTTTTACACCAGTTTATAGAACATGGTTTTCAAAGTGTATCATGTGGGACAACAAGAAAAGAGGGGGGGGGGAGGGAACACAGGTCAGCTACAGACTATCATAGGCTTTATCTGAAATACTAAAATCAACTTACTTCCCTAGTGAAAAATAATTTTATATAATATAAAGGACAATTATATTCATAACAAACTGCAGTAGACTTGTAACTGTGAGACAAAGGACCACATTTTCAGAACATTTCAGTATTGACTGGGTCATTGTTACCATAGCCGCTGTCAGACACAGATGACTAACAAGTGGCTATGTATGGCTGTGTGTGTGTGTGTGTGTGGCAGGTCTCTGTATCACTCTACTTGTGGGGACATTTTTTTATAACATTTGTTTGTTTTGGTATTTTGTGGATAAATATTTAGTTTGGAGTTATAATTATTATTAATGTGTGTGTGTTACCTGTTCTCCTGCGTCTCTGGTGTTGCAGTGTGAGCCAACGCAGCAGCAGTAGAGTGTCTCCTAACACTCAGGTGAACACTGCTCCTGGCAACTGAAGCAACAGAAGAAGAAGAAGAAAATCCATTGACTTAAACTGAACTGATTTGTTAACAGGTGAAAAAGAAGTTTAAGTTTAAAAAAAATCTGATTTGTTAACAGGTGAAAAAGAAGTAAGTTTAAAAAAAATAATGGTAAAAACACAATGCTGAATGGATAAATAGCAGTTCTTTTTCTGGCAGGCTGCTTTCCTTTCACATCTTTTTTAAAATTGTTTTATTTTAATATAAATAACACTTTTGTAATAGTATTATATTTATATGTTTTTTTATCAATGGTGGGATTATTGGACATGCAGTGGATGCCACTCTGAATGTGTTTTTTAAAAAGATTATCCTATTTATCTCACAAATAAATTAACACATTTAAATAGCTAATAATTATTATACTGTACTACAAAATCAATTCTCATTGTGTTCAAACTGTTTTAACCATATGTATATTTTTAATTACATTTTTACTTTCTTACTTTTTTGTTTCCCTTTTGGGTATTTACCTGCCGACTCTATTGATTAATTGTTATTTAAGTAATCACCAACGATTAAGTTTAAATACGACTTATTTCAAATGACTCAATGACCCGTATCATTTTGTGCTCATCTTCACAAGGTTTCCATTACTTTGCCTGCAGTGTTGCCTAACGCCACTAGAGGGCTTCTACTGCCATTATGCAAGTTCACAGTGCTGGAATTGTGTAACTATTGTATGACAATATTTGAGACTTGCGTACTTCTGTTTCAGAGACTGTCGCCGGACGCCAGACGTACTAATGGAAACTTTTCTTGTCACTACAAGTCGCACTAGTTTAAGTCATTTGCGTAACGCTACTAGGTTTGTCACTAAACGAGTCGTGTTGGAATAATAGTAAAAGCGCCGATGTAAGAGCATGGCAGTAAACGGAAACTGTGTTGTGTGGGCACAAAATAAAAGCACGGTAACTTTAGGATCTTTCCATTTTTGTTGCGACTCGTCGAAACAACGGCCGTATACAATGCATTCACAATTTTTTTTGGTCAAGTAAATTAAAATGTGGTTCACACTTGACAAGTACAATGCCATCATTTTATACGAATAACATAAACGTTATGTGAAAACCTATGTGAAAAAACCTCAACGGAAAACAATACATGGACATGAAATCTAATTTTACAACACTTTATGAAACAACCCAATGTCAGAAGTACAACATTGTATTTACAGCCTTGGCACTCCATATCATTTCAAAAACTGCAACCAAACTACGTCACTGACTCTGTGACGCTGTTTTGACTAAAACGTGCATTTAAATGTCCACTTGTGCAGCTTTGTCGACGCTTACTTTAGCCAATCACACCACTTACATTGAATCAAGCGACTGGCGCTGCCCAGCACTGCCATGCCGCAAATGTCTTCTTCCCAAGACAAACAAATGTCCCCGCTTCCTGATACAAGATGTGGCTCGTCACTCTGTCTGTTGCTGGATCTTTAGCGTTACTCTGTCCTCAATGAATGACGCCTTTACTGCTCATTAGTGCCCGACACACTCTTATAAGCACAACCGACTGCCCTCACACACTTCCGTCAAGTTTGACCCTGGTCGAAGAAACACTTCCGGTATCACTTTTCAATTTAAAACATATAAATTACATAAGAATTACCTAAAAGTCTTGAAACCTTAATTAGAAATTGTTCGTCTTTTAATTTTAACATGTGACAAGCGCTTCTTTTATATTTTGATATGCCACGATTATTGTTACTTTAATGTGTTGTTTTTACATTTACTTTACTTTACTTTAATTTGATTGTACGTTTACTAAGTGCAAAATACGCCCGCATGGCTGTGGTCTCAGTGTTAAAGAATAAGACTTAATAAGGTATACAAAAAAATGTATTGTTTATGTTTGTTTAAATAAAAAACATCTACGAGCAGTCATGGTTCCTCGATGTAGACACGTATTTATTTTATTGTGAAACTTTGTAGCCGGTCTGACTTTACCGCAGTCCCGGCAGCTTGGTGAGGAGTCGTTCTGCTGTCATTGCGTCATGACTACGACAGCCACGCCCCCTCTCGTGCCAAGTGTGTTGAGCTGTTTTTATAGACGACTCACTGACGAACAGAAGTGCACGTGAAAAGTCGACTCTATTCGTGTCGGGTTCACACAAAGTTTGCAGTTTAACTGCGGTCTTGCCGTATGAGTCATCGTAACTAAAGTGAAATAATGGATCCTAGATACAAAAGAAAGAATTACACCTTAAAATACACCTAAGAAAGCTGTTATCAATCAGCTACTCCTGCATACCTTCATGTAAAAAAGATGTTCATATTCTTTATGGACTTTGGTGTGGGAGACGACAGATTTCCATAAACACCACTTGAAGTTTTCTGTCAAATAAAGTGTGTAATAGCAACCAATTCAAACCAAAATACTGTGTATTAAAGTGTGGGGGGTAGGATTAACAAGAATGTATCCCGTCTTCCTGGACAACTATTTTTTTGAAGTCATGCGTGTGTGCCTGTAGTGACACCTATTGGTCATGAGGGTACTTGCATCATTTTGAAAGTGAACGTGAACTAGTCATTGTGCCACAGCACATCACCTGGGTACTTGCATCATTTTGAAAGTGAACTAGTCATTGTTCCATGAATTCTTTGCGATTTTTTTTCACCTCACACAACGAAATTTGACCTCTGCTTTTATATGAATTCTTTGCGATTTTTTTAAAAATATAGCATGTTTTTAAATCACTTTTTGTTTTCCCAAAATCTATCGATATCTCAAGACATTGAAAAGAATGGAAGTATTGTTGTATTTAAAAAGATGTGAAATCAGTTTTACTCATGATCCATTTATTGAGAGGCCATATTTTGCATGAAAAGGCAGAACAGACAGACATGACACCCCGAGTCACTTTCTACAACCATCTACGACACGTCAGTGATCACGTGGAAAGTGCACAAAAGCTTGGCTGTGATTTTTATTTTTTTAATAAAAAAAAAATAAAAATAAAGCCTCCAAGTGGATGGAAGGAGGTAAAAAATAAGCAGCAGGAGAACGTAGCAGCAGAGCGAGTTTATTTTCTGCTCACGCTTCTGGAATTTTGTTCAGTTTCACAGTTCTTTTTTTTTGTTTAAGGTTTTTATTTCATTTTTTAACATGATTTGACTCAAGTCGTGAGTTGTTGATCAAACTGATGCAGATTTTTTTTTAACACACCCTCAGTGGACAGATGTCAGTAAAAGAGTATATTGATCCAAGACAGTATTTAGCAGAGCTGGATACACGTGTGAGACATTTACTACGTTGTCCAGTTAAAGACAATTTAAAACTTTTAAGAGTAATGTTTTAAGTGACGACAGTCAACCATCAAGCATTATCTGTAGCAGTGAAAAAAAAAGAAAGATTTATTTTGTTTTTTATGTTGTGAGTTCTGACCCACATGCTCTAACTGTAAATGCAGATAGATGTGTGTGTGTGTGTGTGTTTGTTCATGGTCGGCAGCGCTGGATGAACCGTGGGTAAAGACAGACGTCTCTGATGTGATGTCTGTTTAGCAGCCAGGTGAGGAAACGCTCCAGACCCAGACCATAACCACCGTGAGGACACGTGCCGTACTTTCTCTGAAGAAGGACAAAAGGGGGGAGGAGGGCAGAGAAAGAGGGAGGCAGAGAGAGGAAAAACAAATAATGATCTCTAGTCTATTGCAAACAATTCTCAAACAGTGGTTTTTAGGCCAAAGTGAAAATAATATTTTGTCTTTGACACACACTGTAAACAACTAAGGTACCCCCCATATTTATACAGGCGAACCTAGTTCACGAGTGTTACCAGACATTGAGCAACAGACATTCAAAATAGTAAATAACAATATTTACAAGACCAGGGTTCTCAAACCTTGGACCTGAGGACCTCTTATGGCCCACAGACCTACGACATTTGCCCCAAGATGTTTTAGAGTTTTGTTTCCAAAGGTCCTGTTACACAAAAACTACTGTTTCTAATAGTTATATGGGGTTTTTTTGTATATAAAAAAAAACAGTGATGTGACCGGTGCGTCCCTGCAGTGGCACTCTGAGACCTCTGCATCAGACCCAAACAGGTCACTGATATCTATGTCACAGCCTGGAGACAGCAGGTCCTCTTGTTCCGTACCTGGTCAGTGTACCAGTAGTAGGGCGTGGGGTCGATTTCCTCCCTCTTGTATCCCTCCAGCAGCTCCTCTGAGTCCCAGATACGCATCGAACCTCCAACGATCTCACCCACGTTCGGCATCAGCACATCCACCTGAAATGTCAGGGACAGATGTCAGAGTTTTTCCAAAGTCTGTGAAGGTGGAAGCGAGCGACAGTGCTGTACTTCCTGTCTGCGACACAGACCGACTCGGTGAGGCGTCTGTCCTCAGGGCAGCGCTGCATGTAGAAGGATTTGATCTCGGCAGGGAATCGACAGAGAAGGATGGTCTCATTGATGGTGTCGGTCATCAGCCTCTCCGGAGCCTCGGGAATGTCCTGAACCAGAGACAGACATGGTCGGAAACCTCACAGTTAAAGCAGTAACACCAGTGGGAGAGTGCTGCACTCTAGTGGCAAAAAGGTAAAATGGTGTTTTTCCTTAAGTTAAAACCCCATACCACCTCCATTTTTAAACAATAACAGGCTATTAACTAAACTGCGATTAGACCAGATCTGGGCAAACTTTGGCCCGTGACCCAGATACGACACCCTGGGCTTTCTAAACCCGCCACCTAAACAATGGTACAAGGTATGGTAAAGACTGACATCAATCCTTCTGTTACATGGATTCCAAACTAATCGGCTGTAATTCCTGTTAATGCCACTGGATGGCATTGTGCAAAATTATCTTTGAAAGCTTTGGTTTGTGAATAAAAAAAAATGAATGAAAAAGATGAATTCTGAAAGCACACACAAACTTTGAGATTTCCAGGCAGGAGCAGTTGTGATTTTCAGTTTGACATTATGTTAATGTACCTCAAATAGCCATTCCAGTTTTTTTTTTTAAAGTAAAAATCTGGTTTCCGTGCATTGCAGTAGAGGGAGCCCAAGTACCACAAGTGACACAGAACACAGTTGGAGTGCTACAGTTTGCTTTTCAAGTCCAGTCTAGAGTCTGGTTAATGTGTTTGACCACTTAAGGTTTTTTTTTTTTATCAATAAAGAATCTGTTGTCATATTCTGGCCCCACCTCTCCAAACTCATAGTAAGTGCCGTCGTCCTTCTTGATGTCATGTTCTTTGAGCCACACGATGGCCTCGCTGTAGTTCATCCTCCTAAATGGCCTCTTTGGTGGTTTAAAGTCCTGAGAATAAAAAAAAACGGAATTTAAGAAGATATTCACAAATGAGTCTGTGACTTCTTCACTTTGCACCAAGGGCAGCAACAAACCGGGTTGATGTCGTAGAGCAGCTGAGCGGCAGGAGATTTGAGCACACGGTCGACGACGTCACACACCAGGTCCTCCAGTCTGTTCAGCAGATCCTCAAATGTGATGAAGGGACACTCGGCCTCGATGTGAGTGTATCTGAAAACAAAAAAAGTCTGTCTATGTTAGTGTTGGTCCTTCAAGGCAGGAAACACCTCAAGTAATACATCCACGGCTTTGGATTGTACCAGAACAGGGCACTGCAGTGTCATGTCGTCTGTTCAGTCTTTTAGAGAGATAAAACTGGCATTTTTAATTCAAGGAGCCATAATAGCTATTTACTGCTACCTCAATTTGATACGTTTGAACTTTAAAGGTAAATTTAAGTCACAAAATAAGTAGTGGTAAGAAAATTGTATTTAATTAATGAGCTCAGGTAACTGTACCAGGAGTGTTGTAGCTAATGTTAGCTCTGGTGTTTGTACCAGGATTGTTGTAGCTAATGTTAGCTCTGGTGTCTGTACCAGGATTGTTGTAGCTAATGTTAGCTCTGGTGTCTGTACCAGGATTGTTGTAGCTAATGTTAGCTCTGGTGTCTGTACCAG